ATTGTTGTTGGGGGCGACATGCTGACTCTGTAAACCGCTTAGAGAGGGCTGAAAGCCCTATGAAGCGGTATATAAGTCTAACTGCTATTGCTATTTAATGGTCAGCTGTCCAGAGTCGCTTTTTAGAGTGACCCGAGCAGCATGTAAATTTAATAAATAACATTAGTAAGAAAAAAACAGGGCTCACCTTGGGCTGGTTTAGCCGTGTGGTTCGTCTTGAAATCCGGGAGGATGATGGGGATCAGGAAAGGCAAGGTGGTGCCTTCTGGGTTACGGAGGAGCAGCGAGGGATCCGTGATGGGAGGCAGGGAGGCAGAGTAATTGGCAGGAAACAGAAGCAGAGGTGGGGGGGGGGTTAGAGCAATAACGTGGCATCTGGAAACCCCTCTTATCCCACCCAACTCTTTGGGGGCCCAATGGCCCTTCTAGTTTTTCTCCTGCCCCACCCTCGACCCCGGCCCATCCTGCCACACCCAAAGGGTCTCCTGGTCCATCTTTAATCCTGCCAGGCTTCCACATGGAGAGAGCCGCCTCTCGCAACATAGGGCAGGGTGCCCCACCCCAACTAAGGGCAGCTGTGCCACCACCCCTACAGCTGAGTTGCCCGCTCAGCTGACTGCCACTGCTTTACATTCATTTTCATGTATATTTAGGTTCATTGCTGGTGTGAGACAGTGAGTTCTAGTCCTGCCTTAGGCCCAAAAGCCAACTGGGTGACTTTGGGCCAATCGCCAGGAGACTGGGAGTTCTAGTCCCAGCTTAAGCCTGAAGGCCGGCTGAATAACTTTCAGACGAGTCCTTCTCTTTTGCAGCCCAGCCCACCTCACTGGATTGTTGTTGTGGGAAGAATAGGGAGGAAGGAGTATTAGATATGTTTGTTAGTTTCTTGATAAAAATAGTGAAGGTGGAGGAAAGAGAGAGAGGAAGGAGGGAAAAAGGAGCGAATGAGAAAGAAGAAAGAAAAGAAATAAAGAGGGAGGGAAGGAAGGAAGGAAAGAAGGAAGGAAGGAAGGAAGGAAGGAAGGAAGGAAGGAAGGAAGGAAGGAAGNTGTATTGCTGGTCTTTGACCATAATAAAGATTTATACTTATACTTACTTATTCTATTCCAATATTGTTTAGCCTTTGGACATAACCACCACATGTGGTAATATGTGCCTTGGTTTTGCCTACATTTCCAACAGTCCGGTGATAAGTTCAGGTACATTATGGCCAGTGTCGCTGGTGGGAGATGCCATCTATAGAACATTTTATACATATTTTCCTTGTAGGCTACTGCCAGTGTCAATTTATAATTTTCATTTCAAATTGTTTCCCATTTCTCCAAATCAATACTGTAGCCAAAATTTTCACCCAAGTTATCATAGTTAACTACCTCCTCCTTCATTCTGTAATTCAATAAGTAGTTATATAATTTCTTGATCAATTTATCCTCTGTACCTTGTAAAATTTTATCTAGTTCTTGTGGTTCTGTTTGGAATCCATACTGTTCTTTATCTTTCTTATATCTAGCCTGTATCTGCATATATGGCCACCAATCAATGTCTATGCCCTGTTCTTTCAGTTTTAATCTTGTTTTTAATCCCCCCTGATCGTTTAGTAAATCTTTATAGCTTTTAATTTTATCTATTTCTAATACGTTTGGGTAGATTAACACTTCTATCATTGATAGCCAATTCGGAATTTTAATATAGTGTTTTTCTTTAATTTTTTGCCATACTTGTAGCAAAGCATCCCTAATTCAATGTTTCTGAAAATTGTCAGACTCCCATGGAGCCACGCAGAGGTAACTCTGTAGGCTGTCCTGAGTTCCAAGCTTGGTTGACTCTTGCTGGGTGATGATGTAATGAAAGGGCTTTGTGATTCTTATTATGGCTCTGCCTGAAGGAGGTACATATTTGTTATGTAGAATAGACTGGCCCAGGTCTTAATGGCCCATTGACAAGGGGGAGGGTGGGGGGAGTTTCTGTCTCCCTTTTAGGGGAAATATTCTGCCCATTTAATATTTCCTAAAATATTTCATTCATTCATTCATTCATTCATTCATTCATTCATTTATTCATTCATTCATTTTATTAACTTGTATGCCGCCCACTCTCGGAAGACTCAGGGCGGCTTACAAATAAAAANGAGTTAATATTTTAACTTCAAATGGGAAATTATATAAGCATAATTATGAACCACCTTGGCCCACCATACACCCTCTTTCAACCCCCTCCAACTTTCATTCTTCCTTCTTACATACCCCTCTACTACCTACTTCCCCTCCCCCTCTATCACTCCCTCTCTTCATCCATTCCCTCCCTTCCTTCTCCTACTCACAATTTCCATTACCGGTTCTCCAGAACCCTCAAGTTCAAATCCTACAAGGAAGTTGTTGCAAAATAGGCCAACTTCCATCTTCATATCTTATTATTATTTTTGGGAGGGATGCTATCTGTGAGGAAGCTGTTCTGTCCAAATGAGTTTTATCAATTTTGCTGTCTCGTTGCTGTATGAATTTGTACATGTGGATTGGAGAGCTTGCAAGTACCTTCCTGATGATGCCTGCCTTACACTTTGCTTTCTTGCCCGGGGGAGGGGGAAGTGGGGGGGAGGAAAGCAGATTTGTGTCTTCCTGGATTGGTTCTCTCACTGGAGTTTTTCTAAGAAAGCCGCAGAAGATTCTCCAAAGCTGGAGCTTTTGAATTGAGGGACGGCATCCGTAGAGAGCACTTTGCCTCTTTGGCTGAATAAAATTAAAACATTTCATCCTGGTAACCGTCTCAACCAGCCTCTTTCTTTGGGAAATTACAATTTATCGTATCGCACGTTCACATTTCGATTTAAAAAAAAACCTTACAAGAGATAAAAGTATAAAATATTATAAATATTTGTTCAGATATTTTTTTTGCTTCATTTCTCGCACCAGGAAATCAGCAAAGCCTCTAGTATAGGCTGTATTTTGGCTCTATCATAAATAATCTTAAAACAGCCAACTCCATCCTTAACACTTGTAGTAGGCACAATTATGATAAAACACCAATGCTTTGTGCTAAATTTGTTCAACGCAGCAAGGAAATAGTACTGTAGGCTTTGTTTTTTTCGTAAAAATAAAATAAAGGTGATTCCCCCCAAACAGAAAGAAATCTACACCAGCCAGGCGTTCCACAAGTCATTTTATTTTTACCTTAAAATAAAGGCAGGCCGAGTACAGATACTGTACATTAAAACAGACGTGCAAGTGGTTCCAGAGAGAGATCAAGTCCGAACTGTGAATTCCTCAGGGTGATCCACCCAACTGTTTGCGATGCTTAGATGTAGAGCGAACCGTCCGTGGGACCCACGTACCCGACTCCAATCAGGAGCACATCTATCAGCGTCCAGATCCCCAGGCCGCCAAAACTGAAGAGTTTGCCCAGCCCCTCCCGCCACTGTCCCAGGTAGAAACGGTCTGCGCCAAAGCCGCCGAGCGTGATGCTGAAAGGCGACACGGGAAAAGATTAGAAACTGCCCCGGCACTGTTGGTTTTTGAAGCAAAAGTGAATAAATGTTATTGCAAAAAAACAACAACAAGGACTCTGCAAATCCTAAGTGGGTTGTTCGGGAACACAATGCGCTGAAAGAACTCATGCTGCCAGTTTTGGCAGGTTAAAAATTGGGAGAAAGTTTGCTTAGACACGTAGATTACAATTTCTTCCCAGCAGCCTAAATTTGAAATATAGACAGACAGATATAGCATTTTTTTGCTGATAAATAAATGAAGGGAGACTAGTATAGATCTATTTCAAGCTATTTATCTCTCATCAGCTAGCCATACCCTTACTGGGATTCGAACTTGGGCTACTTTACATGTTAGGCAGTTGTATTAACCTTTAAGCCACAAGCTCTCCTTCCTTTATCAACTGAGCCAGGGGAATGGTTAGGTGTTTTGTCCAAGCACCTGGTATATATATATTTAAAGCACTATCCGAGTATTATCCAGAGTGTCCAGAGGTTGGTGCTTTTCTCTGTATTTTGTTTGTTGTGTTACCTTGTGTGTACTAACACCACACACCCCCCCCCCCCCCCCGGTTTGTTAGCCGCCCTGAGTCCCTCCGGGAATAGGGCGGCATATAAATGCAATAAACCTTTAACCTTTATCCTACCTTAAGGCCAAGGCTGTTGACCATTTGTAGCCTCCAGTCCAGTTGCAATAGAGCATCTTGGGAAAAGTACGATTTCCTTTAAAAAAAAAAAAAAAAGATGTAAAAATCTTGAAAGTGCGATTGCAAAGATGGATGTGGACGAGAAAAACAAGGCACAGCCTTAAAATTATTGTCACCGCAAAGTTGCCATCGCAACAAGAGAGACATTATAAGCCTGGTATTTGGGGCACAGAGGAAAAATTCAAATTTAATGAATTTATATGCCGCCCAATCCCGAAGGACTCCGGGCGGCTTACAGGAATACATCCCTAAAAGAACAAAAAAATTAAAAATAGAGAAGAAAGCAGGTTAAAAAGAACACATCAT